CAGTGGGTTGTGTTTTGAAAAGTCTCTTTAGCAAGGGCTGTGCAAAGAGGGGTTTCCCCTCACCCTTGCTTGTGTAGAACGGTAAGTGCAGGCTTCTGGAGGTGGGTCCAACAGGCCTCCTGGCAGCAGTTCCCCAACACAATGGAAGCTCTAGGTTTCTTTTCACCTTGCTGCGTTGGCTGTGGATCAAATTCCCAAGTTACTGGAGTGCTAGCGAGGAGCAGTGGAAAAAGTTAACAGCTAGTGGTTTGTTCCTGAGGGGAACCTGCAGGTGATGAGTGCAATGAAACTGCTGTCTATTTTTGCCCACTGCCTGCAGAAGGGCTCATGGACAAAGCTGTCCTCATGCTTGCGCCCTCCCTTCCCAGCTGGCTGGTGCTGCCTTAGTCAGGGGGGACTGGGAGGGGACACTCCATTTTTAGCCTGGCTTTGGAGAGCGTGCGTTGAGCTTTCTCCTGCGCCTTCTCAAGCCAGACAGCGTATGTATTTTTGGCTGTAGTGCATAGTGTGCATTGCCGCTTCCTTTTAATGAGCAAGAAGTTGCACAGCAAATGAAGTGAGCCAAACTGTCCTGTTTGATCCCGTCTCTCCTGGCAGAACGTAGCTTGCTCAATTTAGCAATTGGAGAGAGTCTGTTCTCCAGAATTGCAAGAGGGTGTTTTGAGTGAGGCATCTTGGCATTCTCGCCCCCAGCCAAGTGCCGATGACTCCCAGAATCCTCCCTTCCTTTGCACTTCAACAGCTGCCAATTCCTAAGGAGCTTTTTCTGTAGCTCTTAACTTTATTCCTTCCTTCCTCTTCCTCTGCCTCCCAACACTTACATCCTTGGCCGTGCAGAACTGTCATGATCACACATAGAACTAGGCTTTAGCTCTACCAGCCTCTCTTCCAATTCTCAAATGTACCAGCCTGTCTTTACAATACTTAGCTAAATTTTGGGAAGGTGTTTTGTCTGTTTAGGTGACTTAATTTGTGATGGCGCCAATCCTACGGATTGTTGCCAAGGGGGGATGATCTGGGGGCCGAGCTGTAACGCTGGTGGAGTGAGCACGATGCTTTGGTATAGGGATGGATTGCTTCTAAAAACGACGGTGGAAATCCTGTCCCAGAAACAAGTGCCTGACTGAGCTCTGGGTCCCTGTTTCCACAGCCGTTATGTTTGATTTTTCGCACTTCCCTGTAACCCTGACCTAAAGGTTCTTGCACGACTGTCAGTGGTGCTTCTCCCTCTACTTCATCTTCCTCGTGCGAATGCTTTCTGTGTGCCTTGTACTTGCTTTTGAAGTGTACTCTTAGTTAAGAGATGGAAGCGGGCGTAGAACCCTGTGGCTCTTCTGAAAGTTACTCCAGTATTTGGCATGCTGGAAGGGGCTTCCTAATGCATGAATGTGAAGACAGGGAGGCTTCTTTCTCATGGCCTGACTGTCCAGTGAAGCATGCCCCTCTGTGGTCACGTTGAATGACCCCAGTGAATCTAATGCTTGTCCTGAGTCCTGTCTCTCCGTGTGCACAGTCCTCTGAGCCGTGCCATGCTCACGTCGCTCTCCCTCTGTTACAGTGGATGGATTGCAGCTCTGTCCCAGCTGCATGGAAACCTGGCTGTGGCTGTTATCATGATGGTGGTGGCAGGATTCTTCACGCTGTGCGCAGTTCTCTCGCTCTTCCTCCTGAAGCAGGTGAGTTGCTCAGAGGCAAGACAAGAGCAAGGTCTCAGCTGAGTCACAAATCCTCAGGTTGGGCTGTTTTTAGGGTAGGGGTGTAGCATCCTCTCATCTGCTCTTCTGGCCAGGGACTAGGGACCTTTTTGAAGGTACAGGGTGGTAGGCTACCTAATTACTGTCAGGCCAAAAGCTTTTAATGAAAATATTTTCACTTGTGCTTCTTGCATCGATGCCAAGTCTTCTGCACGCTAAGGGAAGTCACAGGTGAGAAAATAGCCTCTGCGGGGAGAGTAAGAGGAACATACAGCTGTCCTTCAGTAAGGCTTGCCATTAACCATGCATATAAAGGGCCTCGAATGCACATTAGAATAAAGAAGGGGATAGTAAGGGGGGTTGGGTTGGCTGCCATCACTTAAATTAACAGTCAGAAGACGGTCAGCAAGGTCCCAGGTGTCACTCTCGTCAAACACAGATTCAACATGAAGTTTCTTGCACCTCCTTTTGGAGCTTATGGCTCTGTCCAGACTCGCTGAGTGCGCTGGCTGAGCAGAGAAGGCAGTTCCTTTGCTCTGGTATTCCAGGTTCTAAAATCACTGCTGCTGCAACGTTGTGTGGCTGTTCAAAGCATGATGGGATATGAATCAGGGCCTTCCCTCTGGTTCCCAAATGGAAGCCACCCTTCTTTCTGGCCAGCCACACGAGGCTTGCGTTTCTGCATTCAACGGCAGAAATCTAGATAGCATTGAGGGAGGCAAGGACAGACTGAACTGATCCTGTTTCTATTGCTTCTTCCTCCTTCTCTTCTAAAGTGCAGTGAAGAAGATACCTGTAACTACAGGGACCAGGTACCTTCAGATTCTGCCCCTGCAAAATGCAGGGACAGAGCGTCTGTGTGTCACAGTAGGGGATAGGAGGTTTTGATCTGGCATCTCCTATTGAGCTGGGATTTCCGCATTTTACAATGAATGAGGGTCTCCTAAAATTTGCAGCATCATGTGCTGGGTGAGGTGGAGCCAACAGCTGGTCCAGCACATCCTTTCTAGCTGCCAAGGAGGCCGGCTAGTGGTGGGGCCGAGGAGAGAGCAAATTGGCGAGAGGTACGTGCAGTGGCAAGGTCGCTGGGCTTCCGTTAGCACCTGGGGGCTGATTCTCTGCTTTTCTGTTTGCCAGGTGCATTCTCTGTATCGGCGCACAGGAGCCAGTTTCCAAAGGGCCCAGGAAGAGTTTTCCCAAGGCATCCTCACCAACAGGGGCTTCCAGAACGCAGCAGCTGGGGCGGCCTCCTCTGCTGCACAGAGCGCTTTCCGGGGAAACTAGCCCTTCGTGTGGGGGTCTCCACCTTGCTTCCTCTTGCATCGTGACCCCAACCTTCCTTTTCTAAAGATGCACTTTCTGTGGGTACCACATTAGCTCTGTGATGCCGACTCCAGATGAGAAGAGGTCTTTTTTTTTTTTTTTTTTTAAAAAAAGCTTCAGCTGGCCTACATTTATGATGGTTAGTTTTTCCTTTCTTGTTTTAGGGTATGGGGAGATAGAGGAGATACTCTCTAAAGCAAATATATTTCTCCTTATCCAGGACACGTTGAGTGTTTGTCTCACTTCCTCTCCTTGCCCTGTTTGCAGCAGAAAGGTGAAAGGAAGCGGATTTTTGATTTTACTTAGTTTTCTCTTCTAATGACCTTTGCTAAGAAGAATTTGATTATCTGCTGCTTTGGGGGTTTTGTAACTTGCATGTAGTTTACATTGTTAATTTTAAGAGCAGGAACTGCAGTTTCAGTTTATTGCACTTACGTGATGCTGCATTTTTGACCTCTTAACTGCCCGGCTTCTTGAGAGTCTGGGTAACATGGCACAAAGGAGAACATGGGAGCAAGCGGGGTTAGAGAGGAGGGGGAACTTCTTTCTCATTGTTCCCGTGTTGTCGATCTCCTGTCTGCTTCCACAAGGACCCCACAGATGATGGTCTTCTGGAGTCCTGTGGCCTTCCCCGGCGCTCGTTGCCCCCAGGCGTGCAGAGAGAGTGGATCTGTGGGAGTTCAGTGTTCACCACAGCCTTACACCTGGGGAGGGAGGGAGGGAGGGAGGGAAATGGGATTTCCTTTCCTGACCAGCTCTGCTGTTTTGGAGCAGCAGCGCTGAAGAAGCCAGCAGCTTTGGGGGAAACCTGCAGGACCACATGTGCCCATCTCACTTAAAAAGCAGAGGAGTCCTTAGGGGGAGAAAGAAGTCATGGGAAGCAAGCAGAGCCAGCCAAGCTAGTTTGGACAGAAGGTGCTATAGACCTTATCCAATCTGCTCAGATCTTTCCCCCAGCTCAGAACACTATTTGATGCATGTAACATTCGTCTCTGCTTCCCTCTCCAATGAGAGCTTGTGATCCTAAAGCGTGAATGAATTTTTCCCCAGGGATAACTCCTCCCTGCGCTCCTCCTCCCCCATCTTTAGCTGGGAAAGAACGGTTTGACGTGTGTTTTACTTGCAAAGCTGTCTGTGCTAAGCCTATGGCACATGCTGTGGGCACGTGTTCCAGCGTGTCTGGCGTCAGGCATGTCCTCTGGAGGTGCTCTCCTATCTCTCGAGATGCACATGGTCTGCATCAAAACAGACATTGCAAGAGATGGGTTGGGGGTGCAGGGGTTCGTGTGCCCTCCTTGGCAAGGGATGATGTGGACAGAGCTTCCTCCTGAGCAGTTCATATCTGGCTTTCCAGAGGCTATTTTGATACCAAGCTGGAGGGAGTTTGTTGGCATGCCGGTTTTGCGGGTGGCTTTCTTCTGGTTTTACTTACAGATTTGACTTCTGTGGTGCGGCTTTCTGTCTTTTTTTCCCTCCACTGCTTTTCATCCCTTCTCCCCCTCCTGTTGGAGGAGGGATGTTGAATTTTATGCTCCTCTTCTCGTTGGGGAAAGTATGTATATATGTGAGGGGGTGGGAGGGAAGGGCTGACTTCCTTCTAACCCAGGCAGCCTCTCCTTGCAAGGAAAAAGTACAAATGCTTGCGCACATCAAAGAAACCCGCATCTCTGGGAAGTGATGCGTGCAGTCCCCAAACAGAGGGCGATTGCACATGACGTGGCAATAAATTCCAATTTGGACCTGCGACAGGGGCCTTCCTCTCCCAAACTCTTCACTGAGAGCAGATTGTCCGGAAGCTGCTGGCTTTGCTGCTTCAGCCTAGCAGTCCGTGGTCATGAGATGAGGGAAGGCAGCGATGGAGAGGAAAGCAGGGGAACGGTGCTCCCTCCGCCTCTGCTCCTGGGTCGCAGGGCAGGTCCGGCAAGCGGCTGGCTTGCGGGCCAGGGGGGTTTTCTATGAAATTGGTACTCTA